CCCAGCCCTATTATATATATACTGTATATATATATATATATATATATATATATAATGTTAATATGTGTGTGGGTCTGTGTGTATATGCAAATTAAATGTATTGTGAATAACTAATTATATTGAATACATATACTGCATATAAGTTTAAAAAACCTTGAAGTTTGAAGGTTTATATACACTTTACCCAGAATGCACCTGTGCTGAATTACTTTCATTTCAATTAAGTAAATTCAATTTTTAAATGCAATTTCTCTTCCTGTCATTCTGTCATCCTATTTTACAACTTTTGCACAGACAATGAAGTGAATGCATGGTTTAACTTGAACATTGATCAAAATACAGCCAAGGCAAAATCTGTAACTTGCAATGTGACTATACCTTTGCCTTAAAATGTGCTAAATATAATGCAATATTAACATAAAACACAGAAACCGAGTAACAGTCTCTAAAGCATGAAGAGGTCAAAACACTGTAGCTTTAAAACTGTAACAAATTTAAGTGTACTCAGAATGTTTTTTTTTAATTTTTATTATGACATGATAAAATAAGTTAAATTTAAACAACATTTTTTTCCAAAACACAAGAAAAGCTGCCATTTTTTGCATTATTCTTGTGGTCAGATGGCACTAACTGAACAGGTTTTGGTCAGAATACGCTGCAAAGTGGGCCAGACTTTGTTGACAGTCAAAAGTCTGGCTGTGTATGACTAACTCATGTGTATCATACTACAGCCCTCTATACTCTACAGAGCCAGGCTGACAAACAAACACCAAGGCAATGGCTAAAATTAACCCCTTATACTGAACGAGCCCCTTCAAACAGATGACAACATCCAGGATTCATGTACCGGGTAAGATTAAATTTATTTACATTTAACCAGTTTAATATGTAGAGGCACTGAAATGTAGACCTTCGTTTATGTGTTTTTGACTTACACTGTACATGAGGTGAGAACAGTTAGCTATTTAGGTTTGTATGTTAGCATGGACTCACTAACTTTAACGTTAGCTAGTTTTAACCAGAGATACCTTGCTGAAGCAGATGACATTAACATTCTGCTTGAGCAGATGAAAATGGTAACTTAATGAGAGTATGACAACCAGAAAATTAACGTTTTCGTCTTTCTTGGGATTGAATGCTTAGAGACATTTAGCTCCGTTTTGTTTGGATATAGGAAATGGAATAAAATAAACTCCATTGCCCATCCTCTCAGGATACCTGGAATCAGTGTTACAAGTACCCCAGGCACTTCATTTTCCCATTTTGGTATCATAAACACCATCAAACTGATGAAAGCTTCAGATCTTCCAATGTTTCTCTATGGCACTGAAACCTAAAGATGTCCGAGTTCCGGTCCCCACGCAACTGATACTCAACTGACATTGGCCCATCTGCGTTCGAGGGGAGGGGCTTACTTTTTGCATGATCAGTTACATTGATTGTGCAGCCCTATTTAGTATTAAAGGTGACATATCATAAAAATCTGACTTTTCCAGGTTTTAAGTGCTATAATCAGGTCTCCCATGCATCTACCAATCAAGGAAAAGTGAAAAAGATTAACTCAGTAACTTTGTTTTGATAAGCTTTTTTCTGTAAGCGTCTGAAAAAACGAGCGTGTCTGATCTCGCTCCCCTAGTGACGTTGCAAAGGGATCTCATTATAATATTACCGCCCCTTAATTTGTAAATTTCCACCCACTACGCCATCATTTTGATTTCGCAAGCGACAACGGTGTAACAGTTCTGATGCCATGGCGGAAGTTTGAGCAAAACATGCTAACTGTTCTGCCTTTGGCTGCACACAGTGCACAGAACACTGTTTAGAGTCCCAGCCTCAGAGGAGACAACACAGCAGTGGATTTATTATAAACATGCGATTTATTTCCCAGCTGTTTACCTTCACAGTCATAACCTACTGTTTTTGTAACTTATGCGTGTTTTTAACGTAAACTTGTGTAACCAAAACAGATGTTTTTTAGCAGGTACGAGCTGCAATGGCACAGCTCTATTCTGGAAAAAGGGGAGCAGCAGCTCATTTGCATTTAAAGAGACATGCTCTAATACAGCGTGTTTCTGCATCCACTCAAAATAGGCATTTTCAAAATTATATAATAAATGATCTGTGGGGTATTTTGAGCTAAAACTTCACAGTTACATTCTGGGGACCCCTGAGACTTATATTACATATTGTAAAAAGGGGCATAATTAGGGCTGGGCAAGTTAAGGCGTTATTGCGTTAACGCATTAATTGATTAATGCCGACAATTATTTTATCGCGCGTTAACGCAGTTTTTTATTATTATGAAAGTCCGTTGCTCACTGGCTCTGAATACACATACAGACAAACCATCGGTCACAGGAGGGGAGGGATGTTGATCATTACTGGCTTGGGATGGGTATCATTACACGTCTCAACCAATGAGAGCGTTTGGGGTGGGCCTAAGACTGCAGCAGCGCTCGCATGAAGCGCTCACGACTTCATAAGAATGAAAAAGGAAGTTTCCGCACGTGAAGACAGCAGAGAAGCGCTGTCACTCAGCACAGTGGAGTGCATCGTTTTGTTAACTTTGTGGTTTATTATTTTGAGTTGTTTGGGACGCGGTAACACACGCATCCCTCTCACAATATATAGCTTTACAGACCTATCACTCTTGCCGCTCAGAAATGTTCACGCAATCATGCTGCACGTATCAGAAGTTCCGCGCTCCGCTCACACTACATGCGTACCGCGCCCGAGCCCAACTGAACTGCGCTCTGGCCCACCTCTTCCAACCGAGCCAGGGCCGGCAAAACGAACCGTGCCCGAGCGCAGCACGGAGCCATCACACTAGTCAAAAGAACCGGGCTTTGGGGGTCAGACGTGCTCGGCACAAGAAAAGATTGCCTAGTGTGAGTACACCCTTATTCTCCCGCAACCCGCACACATGAGTCTCTACCCGCTAGCACTCGCAGTCGCCCATCAAGTGTTGTCCCGCGCCGCACTCTACTGCGTTGGGTCCCGCGATAGTGCAGGTCTCTAAGGTGCCTGTTATAATGTAATGATTGAGGCTCTGGACTCTGAGCACATCTTTTGTTTTTCTATAACAAACTAAAATATTTTCTATGAAAACGTTAATGCCCTTGCAGTGGCAAATAGCTTTGGTTTTATATTTAATTTGATTACATTAATGTTATAAGTTGAGATTTACAAGAAATATTTTAACTGCTACTATGTAAAAGGAATACTGCTGTAAAAAAAGCACCTTATTTGTTTAAAGTGCATTTTTGTTCATATAGCACTACTTTTAAATGAAAAAAGTGCACAATACACTAATTTTGAATTCATTATTGAATTTTGTGCATAATGCGATTAATCGCAGAAAATCATGCGATTAATTGCGAGTAAACAAAAAATTTATCGTTGCCCAGCACTAGGCATAATATGTCACCTTTAAGGGTTTGTTCACAACCCTAACTCTAAAACGAGCAATGGAAAAAGTGATGCTTGACTTATCATCATATTCTTACCTTCATGTTGTTCTATTCCTTTCCATATAACTATACAAATCTTTCTTCTACATTACATAAAGGAACGCTGAACCCCACTGACTTTCGTGCATTGACATCAAAAATCCCTAAAACATTTCTCAAAATATCATCTTTTGTGTTCCTCAAAAGTAAATCATACAGGTTTTTAAACCTAAATAATGGTGAGCTGCACGACTTACTCTGTCACTTGTCTCGCTCTCTTCTCAGCATTCCTTCATTTGTCCAACCCAGTAATAATAAGACATGCTCAAATCAAGAGCATAATCCTCTTGCTGGCGTACTGTTGTAAGCACCTGGATTACACTGTGTGTGCTCTAAATCTATATCTCCACTGTCTCATCTTTGATTTGAATGTGTCTCTGGGTTTCAGTCACCGCCAAAACACATGCACGTTTGAAATAATCCCATGCATCAACTGCCAGCATCGCAATTTCAAGCTATTAAAGGTGGGGGATGCATGCGAAAGCAATAAGAGCATAAAACCCTAAAGGGATTTTGCCATACAGGGTAATTAGAGCTAGCGTTTGGGGAATACCACACCCCCACCCTCCTTCCTTCTCCACGTCCTTCTGATTTCCAGCCATATGGAGCAGGAAACATCACTCATCCTTCCATGTCGACTCACTCCAAAGCGTCCACACTCGCCCACACATGCACCCTGAAAATACAGTCATGAACCGTCCACAATGACCAGAAGCGTTTGCATGCACAATTAAATGGAAAGCTAGCCTTACCTCACACCCTGCAGCCGTCGTGATGGATTGCTATGCAGTGGCCATAGCGTGCGTTTTCCATGGAGCTCCTGTGCGCTGATTCAGCTTTACTCTCTCCTCGTCCTCGTTCTTCCGTCTATCCACCCACCCACGCAGAATTTTCTCACATTAGCGCACGCAGATGCGCTCACGGTCTGTGTGCAAACCACAGGCGGATCCCTCCTTAATGAGGCGTGAGAGGTTAAACCGTCACCTCAAGCTCAGCTCTCCAGTGCGGCTGCAGCGAGTGCGCGTGTGCAGGGAGTCTAGGGGAGAGTCTGATTTGTATTCAGGCTCGTGCCTCCCTCGCTATCTCTCGCTGAGGATTCAGGTAACAGTGTGAGCTGTAGTGAATGTAGGTTAATGCTATATTCAAAGTGGTCTGCTGTTGGTCAAGCGTTGTTTTACAATGTCTAAAACAAATAGCAGCAGCATTGCTCTCGTTAGTGATGCTTGGATCAGTATTGATAGTAATGCATAGTGAATAGTCTAATGAATGACAGTGACCCACATAAGACAAATGACCGCCATTAATTGGGGAGGGATCCTATTATTGGTTGCCAAAGGCTACAATGTTAAATAACAGAATTAATGAAACAACTGGCCATGCTAGCAGGTGTTTAAGATAAAGTCTGACTAATTGAATCAGAACTCCACAAAGTCTCCATGCAACGTTCCCTTAGAAATGACTGACTTCTGGTCTTTCATTCGTCGCAAATGTGGCTTGATTAAGAAATTTACTCAGAAAAGTCTGGGGTTCCTTTAATGATGTGCTCCTTTGACATTAGCCAGTAAGTGACAACCTTGCACAAAGCCAGAACCCCCTAATAACCATCTAGCAATGCCCTAGTAACCATCCAGAACACAATGACAATCACAGAGCAACCCTCCAGAACACTGTGACAACCAACTAACAACACCCTAGCAACACTCCAAAACACCCTAACACCGTAGCAACCATTCAAAACACTGTGAAGGTCCTTGCACACTAAGTTTGAAATTTTCATATGCATTTTGTTCGTATTCGTATCTAAAAATTAGTTATGCACAGAAACCTTGCACACTGAGTCCGATGCGTATTAATTAGTCCATTGCCGAAAAATTCGCAAAACAATACAAAATGGGGTCTTCAAGCAGTGAGGATGATTTTGTTGTCCTCTCTCTTCTTAAAAGGAGAAAAAGAAATAGAAAATATTGGGTCCATCCAATCCTGAGATTGTGTAGAGAGAAAGGAGAGTTCCACCTCCTTATCAAGGAGCTGCGGGATTATTCCAAGCTATTCTGCAATCATCTGACACAATCTATCTCTTTGTATATCCTGCACTTTGTTTGTCATACAGTGCTTTGTGCTGCAAGACAAAGTGGATCAACTTGTCAGACGTCATTCTGGATTTTTTTTGCTTGTACAGTGGCTCTGACTTGTCGAAACACCTCTCAAAATGCTTGCTACGGATGCGAAAAACGCAGAAAATTGAACCCGATCTGAATTTTTTTATGACGGACGAAAGTTTCGGAGGCAGTGTGTAAAAGTGATTGACACAACATGAGGTCATATTTATTTTTTAGCGTGCAAAAATTTTGGATGAGAATTTCGGACTACGTGTGCAAGGACCTTGACAACCAGAACACCCTAGCCGTCATCCAAATCACCATGACAACCATCTAGCAATGCCATAGTTACCATTCAGAACACCTGAACAACCACCTAGCAACCATCTAGAAAAACCTAACAACCACCTAGCAAAGCCCTAGCAACCATCCAGAACACCATGACAACCACCTAGCAACTATCCAGAACACTTTGATAATCACCTAACAACACCCTGGCAACTAACCACCATCTATCAACGCCCTAGTAACCATCTAGAACACCATGACAACCACCAATCATCCAGAAAACTGCGACGACCCCCTAAAAACACCCTAGCAACATTCCAGAACACCCTAACACCATAGCAACGATTCAGAATACACAACCACCTAACAACACCCTAGCAGCCATCCAAGTCACTATGACAACCATCTAGTAATGCCCTAGTAACCATTCAGAACACCCGAACAACCACCTAGCAACCATCCAGAAAATCAACAACTTAGCAATGCCCAGGCAACCATACAGAACACCCTATCAACCACCTAGCAACGCCTGAGCAACTATTCATCCAGAACACCCTGACAACCATCTAGCAACAATCCATAACACTGTGACAATCACCTAACAACACCCTAGCAACATTCCAGACCACCCTAACAACCATCTAGCAATGCCCTAAAAACCATCCAGAACACCATGACAACCACCTAGCAACAATCCATAACACTGTGACAATCACCTAACAACACCCTAGCAACATTCCAGAACACCCTAACAACCATCTAGCAATGCTCTAGTAAACATCCAGAACATCATGACAACCACTTAGCAACCATACAGAACACTGTGACAACCTAACAACACCCTAACACCATAGCAACCATTCAGAACACTGTGACAACCACCTTGCAATGCCCTAGCAGCCATCCAAATCACCATGACAACCATCTTCCCTAGCAACCATCAAGAAAACCATGACAACCACCTACCAACCATCCAGAACACCCTAACAACCACCTAGCAAAGCCCTAACAACCATCAGAACATCCAAACAACCACCTAGCAACCATGAAAAACCTAAGAACTTAGCAATGCCCAAGCAACCATACAAAACACCCTAACAACCACCTAGCAATGCCCTAGCAACCATTCATCCAGAACACCCTGAAAACATATAGAAATGCTCTAGCAACCATCCAGAACACCCTGACAACCACCTAGCAATGCCCTAACAACCACCTAGCAACACCCCAGCAACCATCCAGAGCACCCTAACAACCTCCTAGCAATGCCCTAGCAACCATTTATCCAGAACACCCTGACAACCATCTAGCAATGGCCAAGCAAGCATCTGGAACACCTTAGCAACTGACTTAGCAATGGGTTTTGCATGGGCAAGCATCATTCACATATTCTTCAGAAAATGTCAGCATTTATTTAGAGACAAAAGTACCACCTGTTTCAATTAAAACCCCTTCTGAATATTCCTTCAATGTTAGAAGCAAGCAGCAAAGAGATCACTGACTGGAGTAAATGCAAATGAAACCTAAAGCAGCTTGCATGTCTCAGGGGTGAGTCATGTGCATTACAGCAGTCCATTGGGTGCAAATGTGACTTAACCTTAATTTCTAGTGTGTATGTGTGTGTGTGTGTGTGTGTGTGTGTGTGTGAATTTTTTTATGACGGACGAAAGTTTCGGAGGCAGTGTGTAAAAGTGATTGACACAACATGAGGTCATATTTATTTTTTAGCGTGCAAAAATTTTGGATGAGAATTTCGGACTACGTGTGCAAGGACCTTGACAACCAGAACACCCTAGCCGTCATCCAAATCACCATGACAACCATCTAGCAATGCCATAGTTACCATTCAGAACACCTGAACAACCACCTAGCAACCATCTAGAAAAACCTAACAACCACCTAGCAAAGCCCTAGCAACCATCCAGAACACCATGACAACCACCTAGCAACTATCCAGAACACTTTGATAATCACCTAACAACACCCTGGCAACTAACCACCATCTATCAACGCCCTAGTAACCATCTAGAACACCATGACAACCACCAATCATCCAGAAAACTGCGACGACCCCCTAAAAACACCCTAGCAACATTCCAGAACACCCTAACACCATAGCAACGATTCAGAATACACAACCACCTAACAACACCCTAGCAGCCATCCAAGTCACTATGACAACCATCTAGTAATGCCCTAGTAACCATTCAGAACACCCGAACAACCACCTAGCAACCATCCAGAAAATCAACAACTTAGCAATGCCCAGGCAACCATACAGAACACCCTATCAACCACCTAGCAACGCCTGAGCAACTATTCATCCAGAACACCCTGACAACCATCTAGCAACAATCCATAACACTGTGACAATCACCTAACAACACCCTAGCAACATTCCAGACCACCCTAACAACCATCTAGCAATGCCCTAAAAACCATCCAGAACACCATGACAACCACCTAGCAACAATCCATAACACTGTGACAATCACCTAACAACACCCTAGCAACATTCCAGAACACCCTAACAACCATCTAGCAATGCTCTAGTAAACATCCAGAACATCATGACAACCACTTAGCAACCATACAGAACACTGTGACAACCATCTTCCCTAGCAACCATCAAGAAAACCATGACAACTACCTACCAACCATCCAGAACACCCTAACAACCACCTAGCAAAGCCCTAACAACCATCAGAACATCCAAACAACCACCTAGCAACCATGAAAAACCTAAGAACTTAGCAATGCCCAAGCAACCATACAAAACACCCTAACAACCACCTAGCAATGCCCTAGCAACCATTCATCCAGAACACCCTGAAAACATATAGAAATGCTCTAGCAACCATCCAGAACACCCTGACAACCACCTAGCAATGCCCTAACAACCACCTAGCAACACCCCAGCAACCATCCAGAGCACCCTAACAACCTCCTAGCAATGCCCTAGCAACCATTTATCCAGAACACCCTGACAACCATCTAGCAATGGCCAAGCAAGCATCTGGAACACCTTAGCAACTGACTTAGCAATGGGTTTTGCATGGGCAAGCATCATTCACATATTCTTCAGAAAATGTCAGCATTTATTTAGAGACAAAAGTACCACCTGTTTCAATTAAAACCCCTTCTGAATATTCCTTCAATGTTAGAAGCAAGCAGCAAAGAGATCACTGACTGGAGTAAATGCAAATGAAACCTAAAGCAGCTTGCATGTCTCAGGGGTGAGTCATGTGCATTACAGCAGTCCATTGGGTGCAAATGTGACTTAACCTTAATTTCTAGTGTGTATGTGTGTGTGTGTGTGTGTGTGTGTGTGTGTGTGTGTGTATTATTGGACAGCTCTGCTTAATGCCAGTCAGGCTGCAGTCCCTTGAGTCCTGCATTCAGTCAGGCAGTGCTGCTCACACTTGATCATTCCAATAAAGGGTGTTGGAGAAAGAGAAAAATCGATAAAGACCTTGAATGCCTCATATTTCTACTATGCATGCCAGCTGCATACAAGCAAACAATTGCATTATATTTTCCAAGGCCTGAAGGATGAATAAAAAAGCACAAAAAGGGCAAAAGCATGAATATTTAAAATGTTATTAGAAAGTGAACCAGTTCAGATTATTAAAGGGAAAATGGTTTTTTGTTTGTTTGTTTGTTTTTTACTATTGTTCATATTTAGGGTTAGAAATCTAAACAAGCCAATTTTTCTATTAAAGGGAGTTCACAACAATAAATAAATAAAGTCATCATTTACTCGCCCTCAAGTTGTTCCAAACCTGAATGAGATTCTTTCTTCTGATGAACACAAAAGAAGTTGCTGGTAGCCATTGATTTCCATAGTATGAGGAAAAAACACTATGGAAGTCAATGAAACGTTCCTGGATATTTTCAGAACGTTCAAAATATTCA